TCTTACTTCGACAAGCAGCGGGCAATTTGTTAGGACTCTGGAAAGCTGCACCCTACTGGCTGGTTAAATCTTGCTCTAAACTCCCTGTGGAGGAGGCCTACAGGGGTGAGTGTATGGTCATCAGACCAGGCAAGCAAAGACCCTGGAGGCAAGTATACCCTTACTTCTTGCCTTAACTGGTGTACTCCTGAATGATTGATTTTGTTGTTTTCAAACACTACCTGCCCTCCCAAAATATAAGCATAAGAAGGACTGCCTGTAGTTCCTTGATGCTGGAGAGCCAAGACACTTAAAAGTTTTCTTTAGTGCGGTTGGAGGGGTCAAGGGTACGTTAGAATTAGTTAGTGCTTTCTTTCTGCATTGTCTAGTCATTTCGACAAACCCAGCAGGTTCCGGGTGCTTTAAGGCAGGAGATGTTTTCACCTTTCCAAAAGAAAATTGTTATTGGAAATATTAAATCGCGACTTTCATCATCCTTTATTTCAAAATGTCCTTGTCTGCTACAGCTTTGGTGAAGAGGGAAATCAATTTCCTGAAACTGTCCGGATTATTCCAAAGATATTTACTGCACGGGATTTACGGTTTCCATCGTTCCCCGGTTGCTGTGCGGTTTCCCACCTTGCCGCTACCAGATCTCCACGTTGTGGCCTCACTTATCCCTCTCCCTTTCTCCATGCCGTGGACTCCAGATTGGAAAACCCTTTCGGTTCTCTTAAAGCCGATGTGAAACAGCCCCTTCAGGCGGGTTTGATCTCTCTACAGTGATTCAATGTTCAAGATACAGTTATGAATAAATTTATAACAAGCGACCGATTTTCCTTCCCAGCCGGGAAAGTTTCGTTCGATTTGTTTGAAATGCCAGATATTTCCCTAAGTTTGTGGGGCAGGTTACGTTACTGTGGCTGGGAACATCTAGATTTATTGTTCGTCAGTTAACCAGTAGATCAGGCGTTTACATCGTTTAAGAGCGGAGATACTGTGCAAAACACAATGTGAATAACGGTGTCAGTTGGATTTGGGTGACCCGAGATGTTTGAAAACTCAGCGTCAGCCCTCCTCAGAGAAGTAGACGCCAGCCTGGGAGAGAAAATGTCCTTGCAATAATTTTAGTTATTTTTGTATGATTGTTGGCAAAATGTGGAGTTAATCGGAAGTCGCGGGGCTAGACGAGACCAGTATATTTTTGCTTTCGGTCCGATTAGCTTTAGGGTCACGCAATTATGCATCCTAACATTGTCCAGCTGAAATATGGAAGTATTAAATGAGTTCTCAAACCTTCGGGCATTAATTTCATAGGAAAGAAGTAACAGTGGGATTAAAACCATAAAAACGGATTCCTTTTTTGTTGTTCTTCCCCCAGCCAGTATCCTTTTTCTATTCAGTAATTCACCAGATGGTAATTGATGTAAGGGGCATGTATAATCAACACGTTTATCAAAAGCGTCCCGATAGTCCAAATAAACGGCAGCATTGCGAGTCCACTCTGCACTGGACCCGGATTGCTCAGTTCTGAGGAAAGGTCACCGGACCCGAAACGTTAACCATGTTTTTTCTCCTTCACAGATGCTGCCAGACCTGCTGAGCTTTTCCAGCAACTTTGTTTTTGTTCCTTGCTCAAAGGAAGACGTTTACCTTGAGTATTCTTTCTTGGGCGGTTTAACAAATTATCTTCAATATTAAAAAAAATGTGGGCATTAACTTTCGAAATGAGTAATTCTACAATCCCCACAGGACTGAAGCATTGAGCCGAAATGAATTAAGCCCCGCTTGTGAAATGAAAACAATAATTCCTGCAATTCTTGGAAGTTATTCTTCATTCGCTTTTTGACATTTCATAAAATTAGGGATCTAAATATTTTTGGATTGAAAATTATTGACTTGTGTATTTAAAGAACTATGAGAACAAGCCTTACGGATTGTCCTTACAGGGACAGCGCTGAGCATATGACAGGCAATGTTTCTGTGGTGGCCTTTGATTTACAGACACGCAGCAATTAATTTGCGCACCGGATCTCGCCCTACAACCGAGCGAAATGATTAGTTTGAATTTTATTGGAGGAATTCTGTTATGGGTTCTTCAGTCATGTTTAGTTTAAACGCCTTATTCCCAAGTGCAGCACCTCTAACAACACACTCCCAGAACTAGACATGAACGGTAGCGTCGATCAGGTACTCACCTCTTGACTTGGACCTTCCACTGTTTTTTTGCAGGTCGGAATGCGGCGAATTGCCTCTTTGTTTTCCTTATAACTGGGTTTGACTTCGACTCGGTGCCATGTTTACACCACAGAACCAAAGACAATAGTATCTCTTTAATTAATGAGTCATCATGTTGTAGATGGTGGGATAGGTAGATAAGATTGGTCTACCAGGAGCAAGTCTGGCTTCTGAATGGACATAGGATACAGGAGCTCCGAGTTCCGTAGGTCATTCAGTTAACTGACTTCAACCCAAATAAAATCGTCTGAGGTTTGAATTCTTTTCCTCCACAAAATAGTCTTCCAGCAATTATAAAACAAAGGCCTACAAATATCAGCGTCTTAATTATAATTATTTATGCTAGTTCTAAATGGATTCTGCTCCATATTGAGGAGCATATTTGATTAAACAGGCGAAGCAGTTTTAGGTGGCGGGACTGCCTGTTTCTGAACATTTGGAATTGGTTTGAAGTTGGATAGGGTGTTTCGGAGATCTGATGGAGCAGTCTGCAATGATAAACACAGTTTAGGGACAAGAATTATATATTCATATATTGTTCAGCCCCGAAGTTAGTTTCTAGTAGCACAGGCAATGAATTCACGATTCCTGAATAAATGGCTAATTGGGATCAGTGTTGATAGCTGACCGGGATCTGTCTGTGTTCCGTCCGGGGAGACAGCAAAGAGGTAAACCTACGTGTCGTATAATTGGCTTATTGGGTTGTGAATCTAAACACTTAACGATTTCTGGCCTAGACTTTGAAATGAATGAATATAGCCAAGATACGCATTACATATCGTTTCCTGGACGATTCGCACTCTTGCTGGTTGGATCGGGTTAATGTACGAGGTTGGCCTGAACTCTTGGAAGTGCTTGGGTTCAGGATATTGGACAGAGGCTGTCCCGGTTCGGAATAATTTATCTGTTAGTTCTACCCTTGAAGCACGAGGTACCAGATACTGGTTAAGCAGAGGATCATGTTTTGTAGCAAAATAATCAGACTTGAGATGGAAGCCTGGTTAGGTGCAGTATAAATGGCTGGCCGGTTCTTTTAGAGTCCCTGCTATGTATGGATTTTGCACAGAGAGGATGACCTCGGTGGAAAGATTGCCCGGCTTCTGGAGCAATGGAAATGTGATTCTCATTTGTATGGTATGGCTGGAGGTACAGGGACATTCATGTGCTGAAGAGGTTCTGTGTGGGGAATTTTTGGAGAGATTTGCACTCGAAGATCTGAGTTGAAGGCGTTCAAGATCCTGATGGGGTGTTTTATTTTGGGAGAGAGCTGATTTGTTTGAGGGCGCGTCTAGCCGGTGCGGACTAGCAGTTGGAGCTGTTTCACGGCTGTTGCGGGGCAGGTGGAGATCCTGACGGAAAATCTACAGTCATCATGTGATCTCACCGGCGGAATCTGACACCGAACGGCGAGGCGAATTTGTTCACGCTCTGCAGCTCAGGGATGGAGACAACCAGGCTGACCAACTCGCAGGTTAACAACCTCACCTTCCCACTCTCCACTTTTTCATTGTCCTGGACTGCTGCTTAGCGCGGATTACCCCGGAACTGGCAAATTGAGCGGCTAGTGATCAAGGTTGACGCGTGTTGTTTAGATCCCATATCAACTCGGTGAGTCTCTGAGATCCCACCAACTCACTTAATTTAATTACTTTTACCCTCCTTATTAACTTCTGTCAGCTTTGGTTCTCCTATACGAGTTGTAATATATTTTTCAGGAAATAATACAGGGTAAAGTCCGTGATGACTGGATAAGCTAAGGAAGTACCTTGCACAAAAGCAAAGAATTTTAAATGAATTTGGTTAGTGTAGAGTTAAGTAAGTTGTTCTGCGCACTGAATATACGAATGAAGTCGCACTTTGGTGTAGCTTACATCTTTCTGTTTAGCCATTGCGTGTTTTACAAATGACGGAAAACAGCGCCAACTCGATAAACTCAGTTTGAAATAACTCTGCAAACTAACCAACAGTTTGCTCGACCTAATGAGCGACCGCTAAATTGTGAAAGATGTATTTCAAACTAGCGACTTCCAAACCAGATTATTTCGACTTTGGTCTAAATTTATCCCGGAAACGTATAGAAATAACCAGGTTACATTAACCCCTTCAAATTAAATTAGACCAAACGAAAGAAGCACAAACTAAAGCTGAAACCTAAGCTGGCGATGGCTGGAGGTGTTTGATTACGAGGTTTGTTTTTGCCCTACAGCAGATGGACACACGGTCTTTCTCTACACGTTTATACCACTGTATCTGTCCGGGTTTATGTGGAAACAGCTGACATTCGGTCTGTTTGTTACTACCGGATCATGTTTGCGCGCTTGCAACGGAAGGAAAGGAAACCCACTTTAACAATTACTGTGCACCTTTGGAAGAGTAACTGAAGGCGACCAGGCAGCGCTGAGGGCTGTTTGAAGTTGGGAGGAAGGGGGAGGGGTGGGTTGGTGAAAGGGATGGCCTCTTGGTTTCAGGGTGAGCCCTTTCTTTGGGAAATCCCTTTTGACTGTCATATTTTTGGATGCCTTCGTCACTGGTCTGGTGGGTGTTGTTCCTGAGATCGAGGGTTTGAGATTGATGTGTTCCTTCGAACTCATCACTTAAATTAAAAAAAAACACTCGTGTTTCGAACAGGACCGAAAGGCTAGCTCCAGGAAGTGGCTGCAAGAAGACTTTGGAAAGGATTCCAACAGCATGTTACAGAGCAGAGGGTGGCGCTTTCACAGAAACGCTGGACCCAAAATGAGCATCGGATCTATCCCTTGAGAGCAGCCCCAGGAGATTTCCCACCCCTTGCAGCTAAAACCAGAGTCAGGAAATGTCTGATTAGCTGGGGATTTAAACACGGAGCGTATCATGAGTTGCAAGGGGCACCGAGTTCCACCAGTGCGCAGGAGGAGCGACTGCGGCCGGCCCAGAGGACAAGGAGCTCGGCCGGGGACCCGGACAACGGCCGGTAGGTTTAACAATCCGACTACTATCTTATGTTTCTGTGTGCGCCCTTTTGGACCATATTAATGCAATAACACACAGCGGGTCTGCTTAATGGTTATTTGGGTTGATCGAATGCATGCAGAACTGAGAGTCTCACTCTCTCCAAAAGTGACTATTAATTAATGTCCCTACGAATCTTCATGGGTGATCAGGGGATTGCTGGCACTTTGTGGTCAGTAGTGGGCGACAAAATGTCTCTGTCACTCGACTTAAGGTCCGTGAGGCTGCGTAGCTCAGGCACAACCCCATGAAATGCCATTTCACACATCATTCGTCTAACAGCTCGCTTTCGATTTTCGCCAGATGCCGTTAGTTTTATACCGAGTCAATAATGATTTCTGTGTACCTTTTGTGCGTATTTTTATCATCGGCAAAAGACGTTTTAATCTTTGGGGCTGGGGGCGGGCACCTGAAGAGACTGTGCTACTTTTTTCTCTGTTAGACGAAACAATTTGGCTGGGGGAAGGTGCCCACTTTGTCAAATGCTGAGGATGTTTTTGGCCATCTGTCGGAGCGTTGCGTGAGCTGGCAATGTGCTGTAGGCTGGCCAGAGGTAATGATTTGTAGTAATTTGTTCATCTGCCCGCTCCTTCATGTGATCGCTTAAGCAATAAAATTACACTTATTATTTCACATCAGCATGGTCCTTTTGTACTGAACGCACGGTTTACACGGAAGCTGCCGCCTGCTAATTGTCTGCTTGGGTTGACTGTTTCCCCCCCCCCCCCCCGCTTTAAGTGTGAAACGCCATTAACTCATGAATACTGCAAGGACGAATGGTGCGTGAAAAAGGTTTCTCATGCGTAAAAGAGTGCATGTCATATTGCCTGGTGCGTGAAATGCTGCATTTATTCTGAAGGCCATAGTTACGGGTAAATTTCACACAGTACTGTAAAACTGAATGTCATTCTTTTAACCCAGGCACAGAAATAGAAGACATTACATTTTGAGCAAAGAACATGTGTAAGAGTATAGTTTTTAGAATTGAAGTAATGTATATACTGGATACATTTCATGACAAGCAGAACAAGTCGGAACGTGAGACTGAGACCTCTTAATTATGTAAATTGAGACAACAGCATCATAACAAGCCCCGTAGGAAATACTTAAGTTTTCTTCTAAAAAAAATGCAATATAGTGATTTCTCAAGTATTAGTTGGAGAACAGATTAAAATTTCTTGCTTAAGTATTATGTGCACTAACACTATTTAAATTAAAATAGCTGAAAGAACAACCTCTAAGTATACATGACTCTTAAGGCGCCGACCAAACTAAAATACATAAAACTGCACTTTATTTTGTCAAGAATGCAATTATGCTGAATGGACTTGTATATAAAATTGATCATCACACAACCCTTCCGGTAGAACAGTTAATGGGATATTCAGTCCCATGATTTAAAAACTTTCCAGTCTGTCATACGGCATGACTAAGGCAAGGCTGCAATGTTGTTTATGCAACACGTGTCGGGCGTACAGATTATGTGGTAACAAAAAATGTAACTCACATTCCATTGCTTCAATAGTGAACTAAACATTTAATTGAAACAAAACATGTACAAAATGAATGCTCATCAAAGGTTACAAAGGCAGCAACATGGAAAAGGTCATTCATTGTTCTGAATGATATATAACGTGTACATACCTTTTGCATTTTCCTTCCTGCATAACACTCAGCCCACAGCTCTTTTTTTTCGTGAATGCATCTGCTTTTGTGACATCCTACAGCAGAGTATCATACTTAATTGCAATCTGTTCCACAAGTTTACAAAATGTAATGTTAAATTTAAAATCATTGTTTTCCATCTTCTGAGGCTCTGGGAAGACTTTTTTTTTGTTAGGGACAAACTATTTCAGGTCTTATTCTGTCATGAATGCTTAGAAATGAGAACTTGAATTCTTCCACTCTACCGACAGTGTATTGGAGTTGTAACATTAAGTGATTGTTTTCCCGCGGAACAGACTGATCAAAATCATGATCAAATTCCTTCAGGTTTTCAGTCTTTGAATGCACTCGCTTGCCTCACCCCACTGAGCACAGTATCTTTTTCCTCATTCTCTTGTTTGAAAAGAAGTCACTTATTTTATGTTCTGTCTTGCAATGTAGAGTTTACTTGTGAAGCTTCCAATTTAAAATTCCATGGCTGTGACCAACAATCGTATTCTCACTGTTCCCGGCCAGTACCAGTAAATATCCAATATGTGAACATCCTACCCAGTCAGGCCTTTTTTTTATTCTGGGATAAATGGCTGTGATGACTTTTTCTGTTTCTTCACAATCGAGTCACTGTAAAGGACAGCGTGATTCATAATACTGCTTCGTTGTTCTTTACTGCAATGCTTTATTCTAAATTGCAGCAACAATGGTACGGCATATAGATGTTTCATTGGGAGTTGGTACACAATAATCTCTAACCTCGAGAAACTGGCTATTTTAACATGTGAATTGGAGACACAAGACTGATCTTCATTACAAAGTGTTGCAATTCTGGGACACTTAAGCATTTGAAGCAGTCCTATTGCCCTATAAGAACGATCAGTCTTGAGTTTAAACCTCGTACAGCAATCTGGTAGCATCTATTCAGAACAGAATTTATTCTAGTCACAGTACTTTTCCACATGTTACTTCACTGCAGATTGACTGTCATGCTACCGGGGATGGGAGATTACAGATAGGACAATAAATCCTGTAGGCCTAAGAAGGTTACAGGTAGAAAGACGGGACAGAAAAAGGACCAGATAATGATCTTCAAGATTAAGAAGTGTTTCGTTAAAATAAATACTGATTAATCATTTCCATCGATTAGCTTGATATAAAGAGGAACAAAAACCGCACAAATAAAATCTCAATGAATTAAAATTAAATTTCGAAATAAAACCTTCAATTAGAACATATAATTCCCGAGAAGAGTTCTAGCTAATTTTAAAAAAACTGTTAATAGTTGGATTAAATCAAGTAAAACACACAGGAAATGAGCGATGGATTGATATTGGATTCAAGTCAAAACATTAGTAGAATTTGATGGATCGAATGGCCTGTTTCTCCGTAATGATGTTCTTTGATGAGTATCTTGCGACTGGGATATAACCAATATTCTGCAGGTATCATAAAGTATCGTGGAGAGAGAAAAGGAGCTAAAGTTTCGAATCTACTTAGACTTCTTTGGAACTGTATAGTGTAACGCGTAACATTTCGCTATTTTTTTTAATAGAAAAGCCATCATTTCACTTTGAAGTTACTAGATACTGGTGCCAGATACTTTAGTTGCGGCTATAGGCACTCTTTAATGAATCTCGGGTGTTTAATGTAGCTCCAATTACCTGTAATACAATCTCTTTGTGGACTTCAGGCTGTTCAGGAGAATTGAGCCGCACAGACCCTCATGGTCCCAGGTTCGATCTTCGCTTAGTACTGACTTGGTAAGTTTCCGCCTGCTTGGCTACAATTGACCACAGTGTCCCTCAATCATCTTGGGGAGAATTGGCCAAGGTACTGGAGGAAACATCCAACGTGTTGGCCGGAAACATATTTTTGCTTGAGAAGATCACGCTCAGATGTAACGTGGTGTCCCCCTCATGTTGAAATAAGGTCCTGATGTTCGGTGTAAAAGGTCGTGTCCACTTGCTGAGGTCTCGGCTCGGATCGGCGAGAGGGAAGAAATTTCACGGAGACATTAGTGCAAATCAAAAATTGAAGGCGTGAAAGACCAAAGTTGGTTTAGAGTCTGCATCTTTCGCGCGGTCACAATCAACCGCAGTGTTTAATAGAGACAGGCCGTCAACAAATTTACGCCTCCGCAGTTCAGCCGAGTGAATCAGTTCACATCTAATTACGCCGGCTCACAGTAGAAAATCGAAGCATTTCTCCAAGCTGACAGCGTCGCCTCTGAAACAAAAGAACTGCAGATGCTGGAAATCTCAACCAAGCAGAACTTGCTGGAGAAACTCAGCAGGTCTGGCAGCACCTGTGCAGAGAAAGCAGAGTTAAGCTTTCGAGTCTGGTGACTTCGTCAGAAATTGTTAGTCGCCAGGCAAAAGTGGTATTTATTCTAAAGGTGAGACTGTTCGGTAAGGGGAGAAGTGCAGATGGATCCCAGAGAGAGAGAGAGAGAAAGATGAAAGGGGTAGATAGACAAGGAAGTTCTAGGTAGCAGGCTGGGATAGAAGAAAAACTGTGTAAGTGGTAATTAGAGTGAAGAGCCAGAGACAGAATGGGTGAGCTGTACTGAAAGCACCCCATATGATGTGATAATGGATCTAGGGGCAAGTGAGAATGTGTGACTGTGCTAAAAGCAAATCATATCATAACAGGAGCAGGTGTGGGATGAGTGAAAACACGGAAGAATGGAATCCAGCTCTAAGGTACTCAATGTTCAGTCTCAGAGGCTGCAAGGTCCCCAAGCAGAAAAATGAAACATTGTTCTTCGAGCTTGTGCTGCGGCTCACTGGAACACTGCAGCAGGCAGGAGGTAGAAATGTTGTTGAGGGAGCACAGTGGTGTGTTGAAGTTGTAGACAACTGGAAACTCAGGGTCAGAATGTAGGTGTTCTACAAAGTGATCAGCCAGCCTGTGTTTTGTCTCCCCAATGGAGACCATATTGTGAACAGCAAATACAGAAGACTAGATTGAATGAAGCGTGGATAAACTGCTGCTTCACCTGGAAGGTGTCTCTGGGGCCTTGGATAGTGAGGAGGGAGGATGTAAATGGGCAGGTGTTACTCATTCTGCAATTGCTTGGGAAGGTGCCGTGGGAGTGTGGGGCATGTTGGGAATAGAGAAGGAGAGGACCAAGTATCCCAGAAGGAATGGTCCATGTGGAATGCTGACAAGGGAGGGGAGGGGAATATATGTCTGATCGTGGCATCCTGTTGGATGTGACAGAAACAGCGGCCTACAATCCTTTGGATGGGGAGGCTGGTAGGGTGGTAAATGAGGAGCAGGGGGATCTTATCATTGTTGTGG